CCCATGTAGTGATTGTCATAGTCCAATACAAGTGTTCTTGTAATCCAGATAATAGAGCTATGCCTAAAGTTCATCTGCTACGATCCCAACTACAACTATGGTGATGATGCTGATGAAAATATGGAAACAGATCAAGAGGAAGAAGAAGAAGAGTAAGACTTATGACAATCATTCTTAAGGATTGGATTATCTTTCTTTTGTACTCATCAAGTGTGTTTCTTTGTGTTGCAGTGATGATGATGATGAATACAGTGATGATGATGATATGAGCTGGAAGGTGGGCAAAACCTTCGCTTTATTTGATACACATATCTATCATTCTGGACTGACTAGGCTCGTGTTCACATGGAAACATAAAAGGGTTTTCACATGTATGAAAGGCTAGTCAGTCGCTAGTCAGTCTAGAACAATAGTTATTCAAATTGGTCTCATATTTCAATTTGTTGTATATTTCCTATGCTTTCACAAGTTAACATTATACATGTTATAAATTAATATTATTAATCATGTTATAATTATTTTTTCCCAGGTGCGCAGAGCAGCAGCAAAGTGTCTGACAGCTATTGTTGGATCCAGACATGAACTCTTGTCTGATCTGTACAAAACTATTGCTCCTGCTCTTATTGCAAGATTCAAAGGTATTCAAATTTATATATGATTAAGAACACTTCACTAAACCACTTTCCATGCATAAAATACTGCAGCTGTTTTTATGGTTTCCAGACTCACTTACTCAGGGTTAGCTTCATATTACAGTCAATTAAAGAATGCACAACTTCAACAATACAAACACTTTGAAATTCTATGGATCTTCACTTGAACACGTGAATATTTTATGCAACACCAAGACTCAACAGAGAATCGAGACTGAAGAATTCGTCTGATATTTCCCTTCAAATATCCTCAAAAAAGTAGCAAAAATATTACTTTTGACTTATTTGCAGAGAGGGAAGAGAATGTCAAGGCCGATATTTTCACTGCATATATAACTCTTCTAAGACAAACACGACCAGTAGCTGGACAGGTTGTAGATGCTGATTCTATGGATGAAGATAGTGGGTATGTAAGATGTTCATACTACCAGTATATACTTATATACTAGGTCTTAGATTATTGGTATTTCATGATGGTTCAGAGAGGGTGTACTAGCTGGTATCCTGGGATGGAAAGCTGAGCTTAAAATAACAGTCGGATATCAGACAATATCCGCTCAGAATTGGAACTCAGAAAGAACTAAACTCATAGAACATTGACAATGTATGTATATCACATTTGTCACTTATTACGATTGAATTGTTTCTTTTGCCCACCCAGCCCATTGATGATGTTGCAGAACCAGATTGGCAACGTTGTAAAAGCACTTCACAAGCAGCTGAAAGAAAAAAGTGTCAAGACAAGACAGGTTATTGAATTCAATGAATAAAGGACTATGAATGGCCTACAACTAACATCATGTCTGTTGCAGGGGTGTTTCCACGTCATGTCAGAACTAGTAGCAGTCCTGCCTGGTGCTCTCTCAGAACACATCAGTGCTATAGTACCAGGAATACAGTTTTCTCTCACGTAAGTTCCCTTGAATGTGTAACTAGCATACTTCCCACACACCATCAGGCTGCCATGTTCTTATAATCTTTATGGTGTTATTATGACAGGGATAAAAGCTCTACCTCAAACATGAAGATTGACACATTGGCTTTCCTCGGCTGTATCTTATCACAGCACCCTCCTCATGTCTTCCATCCACACATACTAGTCCTTGTACCAGTAAGTATCAGGTGTTAGTAGACTATAGTTACATTATACTACATAGCACAGCACCCTCCTCTTGTCTTCCATCCACACATACTAGTCCTTGTACCAGTAAGTATCAGGTGTTAGTAGACTATAGTTACATTATACTACATAGCACAGCACCCTCCTCATGTCTTCCATCCACACATACTAGTCCTTGTACCAGTAAGTATCAGGTGTTAGTAGACTATAGTATGATATAATACTACGTAGCACAGCACCCTCCTCATGTCTTTCACCGACACAGTCTAGTCCTTGTACCAGTAAGTATCAGACTTATTACTATTATTACTACTATTACTGCAACCTATCAATGTGTTGTTGATTGTGTGTTTTACAGCCAGTTGTCCAAGCCATAGGAGATCCGTTTTACAAGATTACATCTGAAGCGTTATTGGTTACTCAGCAACTAGTGAAGGTCATTAGACCATTAGGTATGGCTGACATTAGCTCTAACTTTTTTGACCAGCCATTATTGTTATCCCTTTAGACAGTTATACAGTCTTACTTGATATATATAAGCCTGTTTCATACTTCATTGCCTGGTGTGATGATATGTCATGATACCAGTCTGATACCAGTCTGTTATAATAATAAAGTACATCATATGTACTTATTGACTGAGTGGGAGGGCCGTACGGGAAAATATTTGGCTCGAGGTCATGTCGTACGGACCGAGCGCAGCGAGGTCCGTACAAATGACCGAGAGCCAAATATTTTCCCGTACGGCCCGACCGAACTCAGTCAATAAGCATTTTATCATATGACCCTCACGAAAATAAAAATAAATAAGAAAAAGAAAACGCGCGGATTCGAGCAGGGCCGGACGGGTTTTTCCGGCCCGCTTACGTCAACCCGTCCGGCCCCCATCACGTGACTTTTTCCAATGGTTTTATTAGAGCGCGCGAGCAGGGCCGTACGGGTCATATGATAATAGCATCTATTTAACAAGTGGAAAATGTATTAACCATAGGTTATCTAACATACGGCATTTAGTTGTGAGCCCCTTGGTATCTCTGTTATAGAGTTTTGAGCATCCCTCATATTGGTTTCTCTTTTCATTGCAGATGTAAAAAGTTCATTTGACTATAGTCCGTATGTTAAAGATATCTACAACAGTACTCTAATGAGACTCAAGGCTGCTGATATTGACCAAGAGGTGAAAGAAAGAGCCATATCCTGCATGTAAGTCAAGGCAATGTATTAGGCAATCTAGCTACTGTCGCTGTCAATCAAATAAATTCATAGTCAAGAGTATATTAATAAAGGTATATGGGTACCGTGGGAAGGTATATCACGGGAACAATTTATTTTAATTGATAGAAGTCTATTGTTGATACTAATAATATTTATCATTTATAGTGTGCGCAAATTAGCATTGTGTAGTTCAAGAAATTATCCATACTCCCCCCCCCACACGGAGGAATTTGGAAATTCTGGAGGGGAGGGGGGTCAGAAAAAGAACAAAATTACAGAGTTTGTTTGGAAGAAAATTGGAATTTCTGGGAGTGGGGGTAGGGGGGTCTGACAAAATTCTTCTGTGGGGGGGGGTATGGATGATTTCTGGAACTACACATCTTACATTGTGATCAAATGATGTGCTGTCACATATGATCTACTTTTGTCTCGATCAGGAAATGTATTCAATAATCATTAGATCATATTTGGATGGAATTTTTCAAATATAAATAATAAATTATTAATAATAATAAATTATAAAACACTGGTGCACTGTCTTCCAATGATGTCTTAAGATGAAATGTGGAATGAAAAGAGATGGTAGAATGGGAAGTTCTACTGATGTTGATGATTCTTGTTTGACAGGGGACAGATTCTACACTCACTTGGTGATGAATTAGAGCCAGAATTACCAACATGTTTACCAATCTTCCTGGACAGACTAAGAAATGAAATCACTCGCCTGACAACAGTCAAGGCTTACACTCTTATTGCTGGGTAAGGTCCTTCTGTATTTCACATAATGATTGCCAATTAATTACAAGATTAGCATTCACTTTTTCATGGCAGAAAATAATGGCTAATTATAAGAAAGATGTTATTTTACCATGGGTGAAAATTTTAAAAATATCAATGGCTGTTCAGGGGAGATTCAATATTTCCTGCAATCAATATTTATTAATGTTATGTTATACCAAGGAGATACTTACAGGCCTTAAAATTTGAAACTTGAAAAGTGGGGTTCCTAAGATTTTCCTGAAGTTCTCCCTAACTGAAAAGGTGTATTGATTAGCATTATTATAACTAACAGTATTGCTTTACATCCCAGATCCCCACTGAAAGTAAACCTCAGCTCAATATTGGTAAGCTATTTGTTTATAGAGTGAGACATATTAACCACATGTATTTACAGTTAACTATCAGACAGCCTTAGATAACATATTACATGTACTAGTTATATCATGCATAATACATGTGCATATTCTACTGACATCCTACTGACAACCTACCACTATAGCCTACCAACAACATACCATTACTCTACCATACTGCACCTGCTGGTATGCTTCGTGCTTCTCTTATTTTTGAATATGAGGATGTCAATTTATAATTGTCAGTATTTTAGCATTATTACAAATGGTAAATTTGGAAAATCATTCCTCAAAAAGTGGAGGGGGGGTATAGCCCCCCTGGCTCCTATGTCTGCCATGGGGTAATCCTGTAATTTATGACCAGATGACACATGTCACTCAACTGTCGTCCAACTGTACTGCAATGCTAAGTATTATGAATTGCTTATTCCTTGTAGAACGAGTCCATGCCAATCCTGGCTTCATTCCTTAGAAAGAATCAAAGAGCTTTAAAATTATCAACATTAAACACACTGAATGTATTGATGAATAATTATGGTAAGATTGTCATGTTATTGCATGCTAATAATACACTATACTGGTATACTAATTGCCTAGTGGATATTAGTCTTATTCATAATAGTATATTGTGTTCCTTAGGATGATTAGATGATATAATTTATTATTAACACAGGTGGGGGTCTATTATCTTGAATATCTCATGTTTGGTCTTGTGGGAGCATAAATATGCACAGGCTTTGCCAGGGAGGCAGCCACTAACTTCCATTGACCTCCTCAAGAGGGACGCAGGCCTTGTCTCCACTGCAGAAATAAGATCATGTATTTTGGACATTGGCGTATGGTGTGCAATGACTGTTTGAGTAGATGATGATAATGTTAAACCTTTTACTACAGAAGGTTCAATATAACAATGGTTTGTGTAGTTTGCTTATATTCGTATAATTGTGTTATTTAGGAACATCTCTTGTACCTGATAACATCGCTGGAGTGTTAGCTGAAGTCCCACCTCTCATTAACGAAAGTGATCTTCATATCTCGCAGGTAGGTGTATATATCAATAATAACTACATTATGATATCAATCCAGTTGATCTTGTTCATTATCATGATTGTTTGATTCCACAGTTGACATTATCACTCTTGACATCTACTGCTAAAGTCCACACTGATAGCATGGCCAAGGTGAGTACATGTGGCTCTTCAATCATATTTGAATGTTTTGTTTGACTGTATATTGAATAACTATTGGTTACACTTAGGCCAGTGCTACAACCCTTCCAGCTGTCATGGAGCTAGTAAAGTCACCTCTCTTGCAAGGTATGAAAAATAACATTTACTACTATCATCTTTGACAACAAACACCAATGTCATTACCATGGTCACCACCTCCGGCCATCCATTTACCACTCCTGTGTAGAGGCAAGGATGCCAAACGGGTTTTGCAACCTAATTGATAAGGCAGCCAATAGATCAAAGTAGAACATAGAAGTTAATTTTGATTTACATCATCATGATGACCGGCATTACCATTGTCACCCATCATTATTAGTACCATCACCACCACCAACTCTATTATCATCATCAATATGTTCATACCAAACAGCATGCCATTCATATCACTAATTAATATCTTCTAGGAGGTGCACTGAATGCAATGTTGACTCTACTGACTGGCCTCGTTAATTCTGGAATCAAAGGAATGGCATTTTCTAATTTATTTGAGGTAAATAATCAGTAAGCCAATAGATTCAATCTAACCTTATGAATGTATATAACTACAGTAGTCAGGGTACCAAATTAACGCTCGCAAACTCGCAAAATGCAGGTGAAATTTTGTATTTAGCGAGTGACAAAAAATTTAACCAGCTAAGTTTTGAGAGTATGACCACAGTCCAGAAATTGAAGGACTGAAAAGTTTAGAACCTGCATCAAGTAACGCTTGTTATTCACCACGTCTGACTGCTAGTGATTTTGAAATTTTTGCTAATTTCATGCCCTGATAGTGTGTAACTGACATGCTCTCTGTAGTAATCAATACTAAGTTAACTGTACCAATAGATTCAGTCCAGCATTATATGCAGGTCATATGTATATTAGGTTGCTATTATTATTTACTTGACTGTATATTATGTTGTTTTGTTCACCAGATGCTTGTCTTACCTATCTATGCTCCTCAAGGCAGTCAACATTTACACAAACAGGTATAAGTGATAAACAATGCAATTACTTCTATTGTTCAGGATTAACTACCCTTGATTTTGTGTAGAATAATAATGTGTTTTTATTGTTAAGTTTGTGCATTCTCTACAGAGGGGTTGTGCACCCCCCTAGGTGAGCTGACAATCTACTACATTGTTAATGCATAAATGTTGCAACCACTCCCCTCCTCCCCCTTCCGCCTCTTCTCAACTTTACCATTATAGTATAGACATGCTCAGTTTCTGTTGTTGTAACCAACAGGCATATTACTCTATTGCCAAATGTGTCGCTGCTCTGACAATATCCTGTCCTAATGATGGAGAGTTAGTAGTCAATACATTTGTCAAGGACATACAGGTAGATATATATGAATTACTGATTCTTATTAATATGTAATAACTTAGCTTTGCATGCTCCAATTGGTTTAGGACTGTATTATTGAGCGGAGCACAGAGCTGATGATGCATCTTAGTAATGCACATACTGTATCTTGCTTTGCAAAGAAGAGTAAGACAACAGAATTAAAAGAAATGCCTTTTTCCTTTTAATAAAATAAAACAATTCAATTAGCTTTTTTCTGTTCTCCATGCATTAGTATAGCACTGAAAGCACCCAAGACTTGTGTTGCCTGTGAACAGCTGACTTGGTAATATATTTTTCCCCAGAGCTCTAAAGTATTGGATGCAGTCAGGTTGTTTTCTTTGCTTTCTCTTGGTGAAATAGGAAAACATGTGTAAGTATAGTAGTGGTAGTAGTGGTGGTAGTAGTGGTGGTAGTAGTGGTGGTAGGGTTGATGGGTCTTTTAATAAGCATTAGACATTTCCATCCTCAAAACAACAGCAATCAATGAACAATAATAAAGAAGGATTGGCTGGGCTGCTAGATGAATGTATTATCACCAATATTTCAAATAAAACCAAAACAAAAATTTTATTGAATACTCTAAAACAACCTCTCATGGCAAACTTCACAGTCAGATTTGGAATTAAGTACTTTGATGAGGAAGGAAACCTGGACAAAACCTGGACAAAACCTGGACAAAACCTGGACAAAACCTGGACAAAACCTCTCAATTCCGAGGAGATATGCAATTAGGGAAGTCCTCTATAATGTGATGCCAAGCCTAGGAATTATTAAGGCCTTGCAGTAGGGGGAGGGGGAAGGGGATTCCAGTAGTGTGATGAAAATACATAAAGATTAAATGAGAGTGTAATTGTATTCTTATTGTACGTACTTACAATTGATAATTATATTGCAGTGATTTAAGCAGCCATAAAGACCTTGCCGCAGCAATACTGAACTGTTTCTCCTCCCCGTCAGAAGAAATCAAATCTGCTGCATCATTTGCTCTAGGTAAGTTATTATATATATATATATAAACTGGTGGCTTTATTTCGTTTACAATTCTTCCCTTTTTTCTAATGTTTTGTTTCCCTTTTTGTCACCAGGTAAAATAACTGCTGGTAACCTTACTCTCTACTTACCCTTTCTGTTGAAAGAGATTGAACAGTCCCCTAAGAAGCAATATTTACTTCTTCACTCCTTAAAAGAGGTAAAAGAGGCATATATGAGATGAATATCTACATTGCTTATTAAACTAATTCAACCCATCTCCCTCCCATCTACAGGGCAGGTATGGGTATCTTCTAGAGTCTTCATGAGTTTGGTATGATTTGTTTCAGGTTATTTCATGTGAAGCATGTACTTCTGCTGGTATACAAGCTCTTAGACCCTTCATCGAGTCTATATGGTCAGTCATATGTTGGTTTTGCATAAATCCTTTACATTTGCATAATGTTTTCCCATTTCAGACCGTGTATCATTCCCTACAATATGAGATTATTTGTTTGATTGATATCCTTATTACAGTAATGTGTCTTCTCAAGTAGAAACAAAAAGTCATACTCAAGGGTCCGAGTGACACGTGATCAGAAATGGGAAAACTTTTCATCCATAATGCATAAGGCACTTTTCAACGTTGATTGGTGTTATGTGTTGCAGGGCGTTGCTATTCAGTCATTGTGAGAGTACAGAAGAAGGAACCAGGAATGTTGTAGCAGAATGTCTTGGAAAACTGACCTTAGTAGATCCTGTCACATTACTTCCTCAACTACAGGTTGGTCATCATACCATTGTTATCATCATCTTTCCATAACTCTAAGAATAGGTGATACTATTTCCTCCCAAGAGGGGTAGGGTGTGGGTAGATCCTGTCACATTACTTCTCAACTACAGGTTGGTCATCATACCATTGTTATCATCATCTTCCCGTAACTCTAAGAATAGGTGATTCTATTTCCTCCCAAGAGGGGTAGGGTAGGGGTGGATTGTGTCACATTACTTTCTCAACTCATACTTGCTGGTCATCATACCATTGTTATCATCATCTTCCCGTAACTCTAAAGAGTAATATTAGATTATTTTGTATTCAAATTTAGAAATACCTGGATTCTGGCTCAGCCTTTGCAAGAAGTACAGTCGTCACAGCCGTCAAGTTTACAATCTCTGATCAGGTGAGTTTTGTACCATGGTCAATAAGGTTTTCACAGCATAATAAAGTGTTTTTCAAGAAATTAGAAAAAGAATTAGCAGGTTGACCTGTGTTTGTACTACCATCCAACATCTTTCCAACATCTTTCCAACATGGTGGCAGAAAGCAAAGGCTCAAAACATCTAAAGTTATAAAGGTCGCAGAAACAATACAAAAACCTAGTTCTGTGGGTCCCTCGGGATATTCGATGCAGCCATTTATAACGATTAACGAATGATGCAGCCTGGTTCATAAAAGTGTTGTACTGTTGTTTTGTTTAACTTGATTGATGATATTTTTCTGATATTCGTCAGCCTCAACCTATTGATGTTCAACTCAAGGCATGTATTGGACAGTTCCTGCGAACAGTACAGGACGCAGACCTGGTATGATCTAGAAATTTTCATGATGTATTGTATATTATTTATTTATAGATATTTATCTATATCTATATTATTTCTTTATTTTATTTGTCTAGAATGTCCGTCGTGTGGCTTTGGTTGCATTCAATTCAGCAGCTCACAACAAACCAAGTCTAATAAGAGATCTGCTGGACAGTATTCTGCCTCAGTTGTACAATGAAACAAAAATACGAGTAAGTAGGATTGGATGTATGAATCAGTAATGCATGCTTATCTTACTGCTATCATTATCTGTTACCTAACAGAAAGAACTAATACGAGAGGTAGAGATGGGTCCATTCAAACACACCGTTGACGATGGCCTGGACATCAGAAAGGTAAACCCTGCGAGCAAGCTGACTTGCTGTATTACTGTAGTCATCTTTCTTTTTGCTGACTAAGCAGCTTTCCAGTCGTAACTGATGTGTCTATGTTTATTAGGCTGCATTCGAGTGCATGTATACATTACTGGACACCTGTCTTGATAGACTGGATATATTCGAGTTCCTTAACCACGTAGAGGATGGACTCAAAGACCATTATGATATCAAGGTCAGTATTCACTCGATATTGGTATTGGTTGAAGTTGATTGAGCATAAGTACTTACATTATGTCATTTCCTTGCAGATGTTAACGTTTTTAATGTTGGTGAGATTGGCTTCTCTCTGTCCCACCGCCGTCCTACAGCGTAAGTCACGATTATAGTGGTATAGTCTGTGGCAAGGTGGGCATACTGATTTCGATGATGCTGCTGTTCAAGATGATGAAAATGTTGTTTGCTGCTGCTGGTAATGACGATGTTCCTAACACTGCCGGTGATGATGATGATGATGATGATGATGATGATGTTGCTGTTGTTGTTGATGGTGGTGGTGAATGCACATGATTTGCATCAGTGATGAGGTTATTGATGATGTTGCTGCTGCTTATGATGATGATGACGATGATGTTGCTGTTGGTGGTGGTAGTGGTAGTGGTGGTAGTGGTGGTGGTGATGTTGACGATAATGAATGCACATGATTTAATCAGTGATGTGGATGATGACGTTGCTACTGATGATGTTGCTGATGAGGGTGTTGCTGTGGGTGTTGCTGGTGGTGGTGATGATGATGATGATAATATTGAATGCGTATAATATGTACCTCATGTTGTACCATATACAGGTGTGGATATTTTAGTGGAACCATTACGTCAGACACTACAAACAAAAGTCAAAGCAAACTCTGTCAAACAGGAGTTTGAAAAACAAGACGAGCTGAAGAGATCTGCTTTGAGAGCTGTGGTGGCTCTGTTATCTATTCAGGATAGTGGTACGTATCGTAATTCACCTCGCTGTGGTCCAATTAGTTTAAGATGCATTGAGTAGTGAACCGTCTTTCTTTCTTTCTCCTTAAACCTCTGGTTCTCCTCCCTCTGCAAAAATCAGTCTAAATTTCAATGAACCCCTCAAAATTATCTTGGATGCGTCAAGACAGGCAAAGACGAAAGAATTGGCATAAATTCCACCGAGAAAAAGTGATGTTTATTTCCTTTTTTCAATCAGCTTCACATCATGGATAATTTTAAGAAGGGTGTTTTGGGATTTCAGTGGATGTATAACCATTCTGCTAAAGATGCCACTGCTAAAACACCTTTTTTWAAATCTATTGTATTGATTTGTTGATGGTTGGCAAGCATTGCCAAAATAGTCAAGGGAAAGACACATGGCAGCCATGTTGGTCGCCTAAGGAAGCTAATGAGGAATGTTTGGTGTTTCTTTTGTGGTGTTTTAGATAAGAGCCCTCTACTGAACGACTTCCTGGCCCAGATCAAGTCAAGCCCTGAGCTATCAGCCATGTTTGATGCCATACAGAAGGATTCTGGCTCCAGTGAGGCAATGGATATTAGTTAAATATCATCCAATATGGTCAAAAAAAAKAATTATCTCGTGCTATAAGAGATCATATTAAGCCTCTTTTCTGTTGAGATCTTTGCATCAATGTTTTAAAAATATAAAAACACAATATAAAACAAAGCGTAATGATGTTTGAGTGGCAGCTGTCAATCAAAAGGAATGCCACCAAGTCGTTTTCCTGCCCGGCCTCAGTTGTTTGTTCTTACTATGATTGTTAGGCAAACAGACAGAGCATAATGGTTTAGAGTAAGTGGAAAACTCCTTAAATTCCTGGTAAACAGTGTTGCTAGATGGTACAGGCCTGTTGTGTAGTTACATGATCAACAAAAGCATAAAACGGATCGTCAAGCGATGGAACTGACGATAGTATAAAAAGATGTTAGATAATCATATTTGTAGTTCTTATCTGACAGACTTAGACTTTAGTTAGTGATGTTGTTATGTCGAATACTTATCTTGCGGTTTGCAGGGATGATTGCTAACAGCAAGAGATATCGCGCTTCTAAAGTCATTGATTTGTAACTATTAAACTCTTTTTGTATATCTTGTTTCAAAGTCGAATGATACGACCCACTCATTTTACCCCGCCTCCCTTCCCTTTATTTGTTAAGAGAAAATGTTTTTCAATAATGAGCGCGCAATAATGGCAAAAAACGCCAAAAACTAGACTCGTATGAGTTTTGATCCCAATTTTCGTTTTGGGTTAACACTCAAAACCTTTTTTAAACAGAAACTGATGTTCTATGATAAAATGCTTGTTTGAAGCGGTATTTTCAATTGTACAAAGATATTTTGTTGCATTTGTGTTAGAATCTTGCTTTGTCAGGCTTTTTTATAGAAAATATATGGGAAATAAGCAAATGGAGGCGTAAACCTCATTTTCGAATAAAATTTTTGCTTTGGGTTAACAATTTGATCCCACTTTCATCGGTCATCTCCACCTCCAAACAAGTTAAACTTTCTGAACAAGATTTTAGCCTTGTACAACAGCCTTTCTTCAAGAAAATAGTTATTGGCGCTCACCGCTTGAATATGAAAAGAATCCTCTCTTAAGGTTTCTTTGTTAGGTCACATATGAGCCTTGTCTATATGTTTAAACCTGTACCTTCTAGAGCATTCTCTACCATCCCAATAATATCCTACCAACAAATAATGCCTTATTGTCCGCGTCTCGGCGCTTTTTTTTCTCGGAATGAGAATATAAGGGATAAAGGATGTTGTTATTCTGATTTCAAAACCGATAAATTAAAAAAAATAAGGGTCTCTTGCTTTCAGCTCGACCCGTTTAGCTGCGCCCAATCTTGTACTTTGCGGTGGGGATTAGCGATAACAAGTTTCAACATTACACGCTTAATTTTTTCAATAATTCTCCCTCATTTGCTTCTAAAAAAGGATACAAGATGGCACAAAAGCCATACAATTAAAAAGTGTTGGTAGAGTGCAAACAATATAACCGTGAAACTTTAGTAAAACTAAATAGCACAATTTCATGCAAATTCCATTGTTTTCTATCGTTTAATCAGCACTATTTTGTACTATTTAGTAATTAGTGTTTCAAGGATTAATTATTTGCACTCAAGCTAGAAAAACACCTAAAATGGAACCATTAGCAACGACACATGAACAATTAAAAATTGCTGGCTGGATAATCACGGTAATCAATCCACTTGTTCTATTCTTCGATTGCACGTTACGTCATCGCGGCCTCTCGGGGGAGCGTTGGTGCCATTTAACAAAAGATTTCTTATTAGCATTCATTGTTAATGGCACCACAATGGCCGCCATGCTTTTGTCTCTCAACTCTCTTGGGAATGCTTGCAACCCATCAATTTGTCGCCAAGGGCATTTCTATTCTTCGTATTCTTCGGTTACATTGCTTCATGTCTCACCTTGCCAAACCACTACGTAAGGAGATGGTAAGCTTTTTAACTCCTTTTCCTATTTCTAGTTCTGGCGTTGCGTTTAAGCTTTTCCGCCTTACTCTCGCTAAAACTCGTTTCGTTAGTCATATTCATTTCATTGGCCGTTGCCTTAATGCTAAAGTTATCCCTGTTGGTTTTCGCGTCAATTTTAGTCCTTCCAATTTTGGTGTAGATTCTACTAAGTACTTTTTCGATGTGTCATCGGCGTGCAATTCATTTTCTCGTTCAATCATGCGTTTCACTATTCGTGCCATGTGTATCAAACGTAACATTTTGTCTCGAGACATTGCAGCTTGCGTTCTCAGTCTTTCCGACGTTTGTCCTGCCATCTTAGTTAGTTCCATTCGCCATAAAATTCACGAACTTAACAGTTCTTTGTATCAAAGTTTATGCGCACTCAAAAGCCGCAAATTCGCTGCTCTTTTTAATAACGCCTATAATGTTCTTGCTAATGATGTTAATTATGTTGAAAGTAATGATGTTGTTGGTGTATRTAATGATTATGAAGTTGCAATTAATAATGATTCAGTTGTCAATAATGATAATAATGTTGTTAATAATAATATGCCTAATGCTCCTTCTGACAACAACCTTGTTGTCAACGATCATAATTCTTCGGGGTATCTTTCCAATGACAACAATGTTGTCAACAACATTTCTCRTCACGACGATCGATCTAGTCATACTTTTCAAGATAAAAAATCTGTCTTTACTATTCCTGACAATCTCCCGCTTTCTGAGGCTGAAATCTCTGTTTTGAGCAAAGGTCTCAACTTTATTCCTATTTMTAGAAAAACTGATGTTTTTCAAATCAACAAAGATTCTGAATCTTTCTTTCGTCGTACTCGACTCAAAGCTTTTTTTCATGCTGATAATTCTTCGACAAATACTTCTGATCGTGATATTTTTCAACTCCTCAACCCGCGTAAATCTAATTGGATCCCCCCTGAGGGCCAATTTGCTTCTTTAGATTTATTCATTAACAAATGTCGTCACGATCTTTCTACTCTCAACTCTCAATGCCCCCTATGGGACAATCAAAAAGCAGGTTTCGAATGGTTTGGTCTTACTTTATAAAAGGACGGAGTTCAACTGGTCGTGTTCATTTACAGAACAGTATGTGTAGTCAACGAGGCTCAACAGCGAAACCTTCTATCCCGTCGACAAGAAATCTTGTTACCAGTAGGCCAAACAATATGTCCAAAGCGGATCTTATCATCCATGGAGGGAGTATAATCAGTATGGATGAAATCAAACCTTTTCCTGAAGCTATTGCTGTAAAAAATGGTAAAATTATAGCGGTGGGTATCAAAAGTGATGTACTAAAACTGGGTGACGAAGAGACCGAGTACGTGGAACTCAAAGGCAAGGAGACCCTTCTTCCGGGATTCATTGAACCTCACCAGCATGCCACTCAGATGGTCTTCAATCGTTGCCTCATGCATGTGTACATTAACTGTGGCGCCTATTACTATGAGACGTACGACCAGATCAAAAATCTCATTCAAACCACGGTGGATAACACTGATCCTGACAGTGGCAAATGGTGCTTGTTTCTTGGCTGGGACCCAGAGATGATTCCTACTTTACCCAAACTCAATTTTTCAGTATTGGATTCCTTTTCAAAGGACGTGCCGATTCTTATCATCGGCCAAAGCGGTCATGTTGGTTGGGGGAATACTAAGCCATTTCAGCTTGCCAAGATCCCGGACAACGTTGAAAACCCTGAAGGCGGTGTCTTCGTGACAGATGATGCAGGCAAATTAACGGGCCAGATGTTAGAGTCACCGGCAATGATGATGGTCATGAAACATGCACCACTACCAACACCTGAGGAGCTGTCTATTGCCTTGGATGAGCAGTGGACCGAGTACGCCAAGTGTGGATTCACCACTGTTACCGACATGGCCTACATGCCCACAGATGTTGACCCTTTAATTATTCAGAAGGCCTCTCGCCCCGACTGCCCTCTACGTTTAGCTCTCTATGCATTGAAGTATGGACCAGGAGATGACGAGTCCAAGGGTACAAAAGTAACATGTTGCAAGCTTGCTAATCATAAGGAAAGAAGAGCAAAAATGTTGGCAAAAAGTGACAAGCTCTGGTTTGCCGGGGTCAAGATCTGTGCAGATGGGTCTCCACATTGTGGTACTGCAGCTGTACGCGAACCTTACCACGATACCGATCTGACCAGACTTCTGTGCTTCCCTCCATCCCCCTGTTATGGAACCCTGAACTATGATGATGAAAGCATATTGAAGACTGTCAAGTACTGGCATGACCACGGGTATCAGATAGCTGCACATGCACATGGAGAGAGAGCCATAGAACAAGTGCTAAGTGCATATCAGCAGGTACGTTAACTTACTCAAAAGTTTTCCCTATTAGAAATTTAAACAAGGCTGCATTAAAAATAATGGGTTTGCTTGAAATAAATATTGACGCCTTTATCTTGACCTCTTCAGTTCAAATTGTTTTATCATTTATTTTAACGGACTCCTGGGACATGGCGCCATGACAATGAATTCTACATTATGTATGCTGTATTTCTGAATCCAACACGTAATGATAACATTTTTTTTTACCTTTCTCCAGGTGACGGATGTGACAAAGGACTTGGATCGACGTCATAGAATGGAGCATCTTGGCCTGTGCGATGAAAACCACATCAAAGCTGCATCCAAGCTGAACCTTGCGTTCTCATTCTTTGTAGAGCATTTGTTCTTTTATGCCAAGGCCTACTCTGAGTCAATATTTGGGAAGAAGCGAACATCAAGATGGACGCCCCTTAGCTTGGCTACCAAGCACGATCTTCGCTGGACCATTCATCAAGATCATCCAACCTTTCCACTTCCACCTGAGCCTTTAGTCAACATGAAGACAGCAGTTACACGTACAAGGAAAGGTGAACCTAATGTAGTATACGGAGAGGAATACTGTGTGCCTATAGAGGAAGCCCTTAAGGCATACACCATTAATGCTGCTTGGCAAATCCACAAGGACAAGGAACTTGGAAGCTTGACGGTTGGTAAGCAAGCAGATCTTGTGATCCTGAGTGATAATCCATTGAAGGTCGATGTGTTCAAGTTAGGAGACATCAAAGTTGTTAATACCTATCTGGATGGCCAAAGTAACAAGCTGAACCAGTAGATCTGAAGTGATTAATATACATCCCTGATTGTGATCACAGCAGAAATCTAATAAAATGTATGGTTAAAAAGTATACTTTTTCTTATGTTCTGTCATTATGGTATAGGGGTACAAGAGTGAAAGAAGTAGAGGGGGAACTGTCGTAGAATAACTTGAAGAATTTCAGGCCACTTTCTTATATCTTTTAATTTATTTAAGAAGAAAATTAACTGTTTCATTCACTCGAAGTTATTAACGACGAACCTTAATTTATGTGGAGTAATTGTTGAAATTACACCCATGACGACCATGTTTTCATCGTCTCCCCTACATTCACCCCTACATTAGCCAGGATTTCCCGAAGGGAGGGGGGGGGGGGGGGGTTAGGGTAAATTCAAAACAAAGTACGCCATTTTGTTTGAGCCCCCGAAATGCCGGAATCTGCTCTCATAAAGCACGCGCTCCAAAACAATTCAGAACGCGACATTCATGAAAGTTATTTTACCGCCTCATCTCTCAGTTATTTATAAAAGTTTTTCCCCCCACAAACGGTAGTTATGACCACAATACCACCATTATTTTTGATTGACAGCAGCGAAAAACCAAATTTCAGCGTGCAGCTCGCAACTACCAAGTTTGGCAGAATATGGAGGACCACAGTAAATGGAACCGCAGCAAGTGTATTTTGGCTTGTTGCCTGGCATGATGTTATCCATGATGTCTGCTACACAGATATCCCTGTGGACGACGGGGGAAATAACTACGTACAGACAGAAATACAGTTTCGCAGTCATACGACTTTCTTTTTCAAGAGCTATTATTTTAATATTATTTATTAATTCATACTTTTTCTGATAATTGATTGGACATTTAGCCACCCGTGCTTCCCAGAGTCAGGATTCAAGTGTCTATCAATTATCATTTAATATTATATCTTACGATATTTACATCAAGATTTAAGAATATAATTGAGTGCATAGAGCTTACAGCATATTATTAATCCGGTTAACTTATAGTACTGTGTTCAACAATCTTGAGCCTTTTCATTGGCTGACCATCTTTATTCGAGCATTGTCATTGGCTGAACAACTCTATCTAAGCATTGTCATTGGCTGACATTCGTGTTCAGAGGAAAAGCCATTCGAGTGTCGACACAGTACTTCAAGTTTGCCACTAAGATAAATAATACAATGATATTTCAAGATATACACAGGTTGGAATGGATAATATTTATACTACATAAAAATATATACATATTACAAGATTCTTACCACTAATATTGTATAATTTTATCTTGTTGATCAGCAATAACTATGTATTATATCCAAGTTATAGAAATGGAATCTCGTAAAAACGTTGGTAAATATACTTAACTTGTTTCATTAAAACTAGGGTTTCATTTATGTCATCAGGCATGCGCATTCGGACTAAGCATCCATCTTTATTTTGTTAAGACTTAAGCATAAGTAAATGAACAAAAACGATGGAGCAGTGGGCGAGCTATAGTGAGATAAAATGAAGATGACATACTCAGCACCATTAAGCGTGGCTCTTTTGAGGAAATGATGGAAAATCAGTTATTTATTCATATCTTTGACAGTTTATAATGAATCTTTCCCAATTTTGGCTCGTAGTAGTAATTCTTCAAGGCAAGCAATTACCACATATGTGTTACCATGGAAACCATGTCACGTGACCACAAGGCCGCCATCT